CACGGGAACCGACCTAAATACGCGCGGCTTCAAGTCACATTTCGGGAAAATTGGGGTTAGGCGTAAGGCTGGAACTGAGGTTGAGGCTACGGTTAGGCCCAGAGTTGTAATTGGGGTTAAGGTTTGGGTCATTGTTAAGTTTACGGTTAAGATGTAGGGCAGGGTTACTTTTACATGTAGGGCTACGGTCCAGGTTAAGGTTAGGATACAGGAATATTTGTCCTTCCTAGAATTATGCGTAGGGCCACCTTTATTACTAGGTCGGGGCATTTCTCTTCCCATGTCCTGTTTAGCGGGCCATATAAACAATCCTTACCAGCTTTTCTGGTGCACAAATGTGCAACAAGAGGGTAGAGGCCGGAATCACCGTTTCTGGAGAATTCACCGCCCTCAGTCAGTCAGGCAGACCCCATGTTCGGGTCTAGCATTCAAGATTATTAACAGTTTGGCTAGCGAGCGTTCAGAACACACACACACACACACAGACATTGACCTTTTGACGCCATCGATAACATCGCACAATTAAAGTACGCGGGAATGGTGCGTGCCGCTCTACCTCCATTTCAGAAGGATATAAGAGAGAGAGAGAAAAATTTTTTATTTTGAAGGTAATATCCAAAATTTATAGAAAAAATGGCTCTAATCACGGAAAGCAAGGGATAGGTAAAGTAAAATGTCATAGAACACTCAGAGTTAAAGGTTTACACGATATCCACATCTGTTATGGAGACAGGTCGGCTTTCAGCTTCTCAGCTGTTGTTTCTTCAGATGTGAGGTAGCGTGCTAGAAATGGGAGTACCGAGTGCTGTTATGCCGATGTACGGCAAGACATATGACGGAAGCTTGGGCGCATAGTACGGGAAGAGTTCGCAGCCATTAGTTCAGAGTGGACAGGATGAGCGACCTCATTCAGGATGTGATCACCAAATTGCTTGACCCTTTTAAAGTGTCGTTGTAATATAATGTCAGCTCAAAAAACGGCAGCCGAAGAGAGCATTCGGAGGATACGTTTAGAAATGACCAGATCTTTTTCAAGTAAAGCTGGAAAAATAACTGGAGAGCAGTAAAGAATGAGGAGGAGACTACAGGCATCTTTAACTCGCCAGATTGGTGCTTGCGGTGTGCTTTATGAACGCAAGCAGTGGATATAATATAAAAGTTTACGGATTTTAATAAAAAGGCCTTTTATATGAAGAGCAAATCAGAGGTTAGATGCCAGAGTAATACCAAGGTACTGGGAAGAGAATACTTCATTAGACGGAAAGTCAGTGGATTCAGGACTGCACGAGGGTTGCAATGAAAAAACACACTGGACTGACTTTGCAAATGCATTGAAGTCCTGTCGCAGACAAGGCAGCATCTCCTGCCTTTGTTCTGACAACCAGGATCAATCAACCAGGCTAACTTCTAGCTGAGTAGTGAATTTCGTATTTTAGTACCCAGGATGACCTGATGAAAGTACCCATGCGGGTACTCATTTGATCAGACCTCCTAGGTATGTTTATAAGAACACTCAACAGGAATTATAATTGCTGAAGGCGATTAGTAGTCAAATGCCACTGAAGATTTCCGTGGAGGGGGGGGGTTACAATGGAATATGTGGATGGACTATGTCCAACTTTTGTAGTGAGTGATACAACTAACGCCTACAAGAACTAGTAAAACAAAACACACTCACTAATAAGAAATAAGTAGGTGGTTATACAAAGTAAGCAAGGGTATGGTGATACATATAAGCTACTGTTATCGCTATAACTGACGAGCCAGACACAAGCTTAATGACAAAAGTGCCTTGTATGGGGGCCTAAGCGGTCGGTCGCTGTTGCTGGGAGGTCAACCCCATTCGGCAAAAGCGTAGGGTTTGCGGGGCAGCTGTTCTGGACGCTACCAAAACTCTGCATGCTTCAGAGTGATAAACGTGTTCTAGCTAAGGACTCGAAACAAGGAACAGTATGTACCGAAGAATTTAATAAAACGATAGTGTACGCCGACTGAGCAGAACTGATAATTTTTCACGAATTCTGCCAAAAGACATAC